CAGCAGAGTGGATAAAGAATCGGGTTTTTCTGTGATAATTTAGGCCGCTTGCGCTCTCTGAGTGGCTTCCCCTTTGAAACGGGTGTGTATCTGAATGAGCTTTTTCTAAGATATTTCTCCAGAACCATCTGAACAACTTTTTCCTGCTCTCCTTCCTTTTCATCGCGATCTGTTCCAATAATTGGTTCTATCACTTACACTGAAATAGCAGCTGAGGCATTTCATTCTCGTCAAAATCTTTGTTTTTTTCAATTTTTATTTTTTTTTCGTCGGCTTCCCCTGTAAGAGCTGAGTACACACAGTCTCAGGATTCGCCTAATTAATCGAAGTTAAACATTTTTTTCTTGTTTTGAATTTGTTGCCTTGACCGAAATAAAAGCCGTCACTGAATTATTGACCAAAAATCGGTGTTCTCGAAGTTTAGGCGGTTTTACAGCTCGGAGCATCCACCCCTCTCCTATCATCTGAACCGTCTCTTGTCCCGAAATCGTTTCCTTCGTCTAGGCCCTGCTACGCTCAACAAAAACACAGGTGATTCAATTGTAACGTAGAAACAGAAAGTCGGATCTAAATTGAGCACTAGAGATGCCCTGACTTCACCTGATTTCAGGTTGGTTTCCTCTATGAAGTTCCTGAGGCCAAGCGGGTCTACCCCGCACGAAGAGGGCTTTTTTGAGGTAAGTTGGTCAGTGAGGTTGCTTGATTGGCTTTGTTTCGCATAATTTCATTTCTAGGCTCGTGAAGATGCATATAAATTTATTATTGGAGTATCAGGGTCATTATCTGTGCTTTCTTTACTTACAATATGCCTCGTCGTCCCGTCAATGTACAATCTTGTCGATAACATTGGACGTTTTGGCAAACTTGATTTTGCCTATTGCGAGGTTCGACGAGTATTTGGCCCTCATCTCATCCAGAGACCCTCACTTTGTGACCATTTAGAGCGCCGTCACCGACATGGAGCAGGAGATGATCTCAATACGAGAAGCATTCCGGCAGACGGCTGGAAATAGGTCGACTCGTGCTGCTGGTTATGGGCACTACAACCCATCTATGCTTGCCTTAGACTCACCGCAGTTCCAAGAATGCCCAGGTAAGCTCTTAAACAATGCCAATTCTTCTTCTTTCCGCATATTTCTCAAGTATCGACTTGCAGCTTGTTGCATCGCTGGTGAAAGAGGCCCTGTCGGAGATCCCGGCCTTCCCGCTCTTCCTGGCGCACCTGGCCCCGACGGAGCTCCCGGACGACCTGGCACGACGCCGAATGCATCTTGCATTCCTGAGACGAGTTTTCGAACCTACCACCCAGCCGCCATGTCCACAGGAACTCGAGACTTCCCGACATACCGCGGATTCCCAGGAGATCATGGTGATCCTGGAATTCCTGGACGACCTGGATCAAATGGACTTCCCGGCAATCAAGGTGAACCTGGACCTGTTGGACCACCAGGACCTGTTGGACCTGCGGGACCGCCTGGTGACAAAGTACAATATTTGTATTTCTCGCTGTTTTTCTTTGCACTCTCTTAGGAGATTTGTGCATTATTTTCACTTTTTGCTTTTATTTTTACGGTTATCGTGTTTATCTCCATATCAGAGAGCGAAAGTAAGAAAATTTCAGGGACGAACCCCAGAAGCGCATGTCATCCCTGGACCACCCGGAGATCCTGGCCCACCTGGAGCATGGGGACCTCCTGGAAATGCTGGCATGCCCGGTGAAGATGGTTATCCTGGCACACCTGGTGAAAAAGGTTGGCCTGGACCACCAGGAGCTCCGGGACCGATGGGAATACCTGGTCCAGCTGGACCCATGGGTGAAGAAGGACCAGCTGGTACGTGTTGAATGAACTCTTTGGCCTCCTCATCAGCGCCTGATTTCACGACTTAATGTTTCCTTTAGGTACACCTGGTACATGTGTCTGCCAGGATACTGAAGTAGTTATGGCTGATGTGAACGGAAAAATACCGGCACCACGTGAAGATCGGAACGTGGAGCAGGCCAAGAAGAAAGAGGAGGAAGCGACGACTCCAGCTCTCCAAAAAATGTGAGTGGAAGTGGTTGTCTGTTAGGGAACAGTGGAAGATAACCAGTAAAATCTTTACAGAGAGCCGTCGAGTAGCATGGTCGTAGAGGAAACTTTCACAAATAACGAAAACGGCGGCTACTACAACCGAAAGTTGAAAAAGAGAAAGAGAGCTCGTCGACTTCGCCAGCACTAGTTAATCGATAATCGATTTCCTTCAGTCTCTCGCATATACTGATTGCTCATCTGAATGTCCTTCATTTTTTCATTCTCTTCCATGGGTAACATAGGAAGAGAAATATAGTTATAAGCTGCTGGAGCCTTTTCTCTCTCTCCTGAAGAGGATTTTCCGCCCAGTGGCGAACATTAAGGGTCGAATTTTGTATTTTATGATGCTGTTGTTTTTGATGTGTGTGCTTTTTTTCTTGTTTCTCGAGGTGCTGTAATGCATTCCTTTTAATCTTTCGCGTGAATTTTTGCATTTGTGTAGAAAATTCCAGGTAATAAATGCCATAATATTGCCTTTTAATCTCGTTTTCACAAGCATCTATCATTTTGGAAACACGCGCGCGACGTGACCTGATGTTTTCTAGAGAAATTCTCAAGAAGTAGGCCATCTGGTCGACAAATGAAAGGATAGCATAGACGTGCCCGACTATCGGGCGCAAGTAAATGATATATGCCCTAAATCCGCCAGTGCCGGAAACTTTACAGATATCACTAAAGTGATGGATTGATCCCCTAATCGAGACATCTTGTTCGGACTATCCTCCCCAATTGTACATTCTGGAGTCATTTAGTGGGTCTAAGCTCCATGAATAAGATGCCCGCGAGCAGAGCGCAGAAAAGTCGAGCCCGCAACCGAAAATCTCGGCTGAGGGGGTTGAAATATGAATATCAAGGTGTCAAGAAATTTAGTAGGGCAGAAAACGCCAGGGAAAATAGTCGCAGATACCCGAAATAAGACTCCCATTGAACAAGTTTGCACGCCATGACAGAGGAGAGAGGTCGCTGTCGTCACTGAGTTTCATCACCAACGGTGATCGATCATGGCCAACTGAATTTCTGATGACAACTAATGTCGTTCTGTCCACGTTTTCTGACTGGTATTTCGGTTGTTATGGCTCCTCCCACATACAAATTGGAAGCAGCGCTATCGCGCGTTGTGCGGGCGAGTGGGCTGAGCCGATGCAGAGGACGACGGCATTGGCACGCCACACTCCTTTTGCACTCGGGCTAAAGGGTACAACAACAGGACATGCAGAGTCAGGCTTCTTTGCTCGCCAGGCGAGGGATGGATCTTCACCGTCTAATTGCCGACCATACCTTGGAAGGGATGGCAACCATTTCACTTTTATTCAGTAGATCGCTGTGCGAGTGAATTTGCAGCGTTAAAATCAGACTTCTCATCGGAGGTGTTTAGAAGCGTGTGTGGAAGGCTTCAACACGAGTATCAAATGCCAGCATCGTTAAAATACCTGTTGTCTCTTCTTAGACAAATTGTAGCGCAGTTCGCGCTCGGGTTGTGTGCGTCACTCAGATGGCGGCTTCTAAGCCGTTTCAGGGAACACTTTGCTGAAACCGTTGTTAATTCCTTCAACCAACGTAATTAGCAGCATTGGTACTCATTTCCGCAACGTCACAAGGAGTCTATGTTGCCCACCAAAGCGATGCTGTCTTTCTTGACATGAACAAACAAAACGAACTAGCGAAAGTGCGAAATAGAACCCCTTCGAACACCTAACATCTTTTCCAAAATAAATGTCGTTTAAGTCTCCATAAGGCCTTGCATGAAGTCGGGGCAAGAATTTAATCTTCAGTACGGTATAATGTGGAAAGCATTCGCCTACTCACTGCAGGCGTCGTAATCAAGCAAACTTGTTTCAAACGACTCTTATTTTTATGTTAGCGTTTTTGAAGGGGCAGTTCGTACAGGTGCCTCAGTAGCTCCTACTTATCATGGAGATGTACTCACGTGGGTTTGCTTCTCTTTTCGGGATCAGCTTTCCTATGCAATCTGGGTCACGTTCAGTTACCCTCCGCGACTGTCTGAAGGACAACAAATCGTGACCTGGACATCTCGCTGGCCGTGACAGTGGCGATATAGTGTTCAAAATGCCACTTCAAATCGTCAGAGGAGTGTATACAGGAGAAGGGCAACCAAAACTACATCAGACACATGGAGAACATGTCCATTCAGCGGCGACCTCCTTCACTTTAGGCAGCCTCTCTATAGCGACCTCACCAGCGATTCCAATTAGAGGCTGCCTTTTCAACATCACTTTCCACAAAGCGCAGAACCCGTCCTTCGAAAGAAGGTCACACTGCCACACACCAAACAAGAATGAACGACAACCCTTTCTCCGGAAATTTTCTATTTTTCATATAGATCTCCCTGCGGGGTGTGCAGATGCGACCTCATCAGCTATAAATACGCAGTTCGTCTCTGCCTCCACTTCCCTCTCCATCCACCCTTCATTAAGGAATCTGCAAACTCAACGGAGTAGTTTTTACTGGCCGAAATGAAGCCTGAGTCAGCGTTGAATTTATGTTCGTCTTGAGTTATGGGAATTACAGCGAACCATTCTCTTCCAGTACGGCGGACATTGATTAGGTCATGGTGGGTTATTGTTATTGTGAATCTTCTCACGCCTTTCTATGAACTCATTCGAGTTCCGAAATCCTCCACAATCCAGAAGGGTTCGGCATTCTAAGAGGATGCAATTAAATAAGAGTTCCACCTCTTTCTTAATTGCACCTCTTTGACCGAACTCAACCGAACGATGTCCAACAAGTCAGCGAGGTGTTAATGGCTGTCATAACCTTTACTATTATTATATGATTATCGCGAGCGTATTAATTGCTTTTCATCTGATTGTCAGATAATCGGTGCCGGTTTGAGCGTGCGCGGGTTGTTGTTGCCTTTCAGGTGGTGTTTATCCATTTCCAATGTGGGGGTACAACGTACGGTCAAGGACGGCCAACGGATCTCGCCACTACCAGATATCACCGCTGCACTCGGCGCCGCTAGTCATCTCATCTGATCTTTCAGTCTTGGCTTTTTCCGGACTCTCTCATCACTAGCTTCTCATTTACACTTCTTTCATAAAATGACGTATTTAAGAAATCTTGGTCCCATTTTGAGAATAGGCCCAGGTGATTTGATTGGAACGGTCAACGTGCTGATTGACCAACACGCCGTAAAACCCTAAGCGATTTCGATCTTAATCCGGGCGTTACCGCTGCACTCCCGCCGCTGTGATTAATTTCGTAACTAGAATTGGGGCCAACCTCCAGTCCGGCTGTTCAGTTCGCTCTCTCCGAAATCTCACCAGTTTGCGTAGTTTGAAAGAAAGTTTTAGTGGGGATTTAGATAAAGATTCGGGACCCAAAAAGTCATGTACTGCTTGTTCTGATTCGTTAGCAAATGAAGTGGGTTTGATGAAAACTAGTCTTCGTAAACAGATCTGTAAATCACGAGGGTACAGGCAGAGTTCTCCTCGAAGAAGTCTTGGGCATGGCTCAACTAAAATCCGGAAAGCTCGCTCAGGATCGTGATACGTCATGATGCTCTAGAGGAGCTGTATGAATGAAGCTTCAAAAAGTCTCAGCTCCATCCGTGAGCGGCAAACCGAGCGAACTAGACGTAAGTATGAAAGGGTCAGTTGAGCTATATAACTCCTGGGGGTGATGTAAGCAATAAATGTAAATCAGTAACCGTAGCACTGTGCTTATTACTACCTAGGATGCATCGGCCGGGAATTGAACGCGGATCGACCGCGTCGCAGGTGGGCATCTACCACTGA